TCAATCTCACGAGCCACTTCAGCGTGAATAGCTGTTTTGAGGTCAGGGACAACGGAATCATACTGGAGCCGGAAGACGGCGTCTAGTGGCTTGTGATCGGAACTGAGAATGTGCATATGAGTGGTGTAGTACTCGAGCAGTAGCTCAGCCTAGTAGGGTCTAGTTAGCAAGATGCGGTAATGTAGTAAGATTTGTGGTACCGTTATTGACGTACAGATAAGTCATCTTTTGTTTTGATTAGTTCCGGCTCTGGCGTCTCGTTCTCGTCATAATCATCGTAGGTCGCGCCGTCTGTGTCTGGGTCGTACTCATACATGACGTCGTAATCCCCCGGAACGTTCAAGCCCTTTGATGAAACTTCTTCAGCTATTCGGCGTGCAGCCTCCTGTTCCTTGACCTTGGCCTCATACTTTTGCTTGGATGCTCGGGTTCGATATATGATGCGGTCGCACCAGCTGGGACAGCGACGCTTCTCGCTGGAGTCAAAAACGCCAACCTTGCCTATATCGTACTTGTAGGACGGCAGGAACCGGATGGGCCCTTCTTCCCAACCATCATGGAAAGCTTTTCCTTGCTTCATGACTTGGTGCAGCTCATCGTGTGGCAGAAGAGATAAGAGGGTAGTCTGTAACGACGCTGGATCCAGTTCATCAGGCACAGGAGCTGTGTCGCCTGTTTGTTCGGACGATTGTCTCGAGTCATATCCTGAATCGGCGGACGTGGAAGTTCTACTTCGGCTCTCTTGTGAGTCCAGGTCTTGGGTATGAATTGTCAGTAAGCGGCGCACGTCGTCTCCTGGCATGCCTTCGAGACGATAGTTCAAATCGCCGAACCAAAAGGCAAAATCCTCATCACCAAGACCTTCGCCACTAGACTGTGAAGGGCCCAAGCCACCGACGATAGGGTCGAAGCGAGTGCGAGTGGTGATTTGGGCAGCATCCCAGTTCCTTCGGTCTAATGATGCTTTGTCGGCACCAGCTGCAAGATGGGAATTTACAAAGACAAGGCGTGTCGTCTCACCCAAGACAATGCGCGTCGTCACAGCACCCTTGTTGCCCATGTAACCCATGAGGCCTGTACCAACGCTTGTGGTGCTGACATTCTTGATCTGAGGGAAGATTTGTGGCGAGGCATAGATGGCCAACCACAGCCCGATAAGCTGCTGATCTGCCACCAGCTTGTAGTCCTTAGGCAAGGCAGCTTCGAGCTGGGCCTTCCATCTATTTACGGTTGAAGGATCGGTAAAGGGCCTCAGAGCCTCGGCAGCCGAGGTGATGTCGACAATCTCCTGCAGACCTAACACGTAGATGTCGATATCCTCTCCGCCGGGCACAGCTACTGCATCATGAGAGCCAGTGTCCGACACGCCCAACCCGCCAAGGGCCCCGTCTACGCCGCTGCCCTTGATAAACCATTTGCCAATGTCTTGCTCTGTGCCTTTTTGGGCGGCCGTATTCCAGGAGCCGACCTTGATGCGCACAGTCTGCGGGCGCGTGTACTCAGCACGACGGTCGTATAGAGCCTGGGAGAGGGACGTCTGTTGTGTAGCGACAGATGCGATGCTCGGGGAATGCGGATCAAGAAATGCGCCGGGAATGGTGGCATCTAGTCGCTCTGTCGACTGCACAGAGACGGCTTCAGATGTCATGGCGGGGTGGAGGCGAGGAGGGCAAGAAGAGCGAAGGCGGTTGCTGATGCTGGTGCAGTGACGCCATGGTAGGAGTGGAGATTTGATAGCACGGGGAGGGTAAGCGGGCACCTGGCAATGACGACGCTGAGGCTGTTGCGCTGTGGCTGTGGTGGTACTAGGTGGGGCCCAAGCTTGTCGTGGGATTATTGTTCAACACTAATGGCCGCCGTCAGTACACTACTTACTTACATAGTAGTGTATACTATACATACATGAGTATACACATATAACACCACAACACCATGGCGCCGCACCGCAAAGCCCGCGCCAGCCAGCCCCAGCAGCCACCGCCCTCGGACTACGAGACTGATGCCATACCTTCGGTCGACGACATGCCCCTCCCCCCGCCGCGTTCCAACGAAGAGCTCAACTTGTCGGTCCTCCGCCGCCAGTATCCCGCCCTTGCCTCCATTGAGCATGTCACCCCCTATGCCGCTCTATACACTTTCAATCTAGAGACGCAGCAGTGGGAGAAGATGGGCGTTGAGGGCACCCTCTTTATCTGCCAGCTCACACCCTCGCCCATGGGCGCCGAGCGCTACTGCGCCATCATCCTTAACCGCAGAGGACTCGACAACTTCTACGAGGAGCTCACTAGCAGCGACGAAATGGAGATCTCGGATCCCTATGTCATCATTCAGGGCGAGCAAGTTTACGGCATCTGGATCTTTGCTGATCCGCCGCCCTCGTCGACGGCAAACTGCCGCCAGGAAACGGCTGCCAAGATGATGGCCGTCGCCGACAGGGCCAAAGCAAGCCGTGCCGCTCTCCACGGTTCACCAGACGCTGTCTCTTCCACCCCCATGGGCCGCCAGCTTTCGTTGCGAGAGCTCTTTGGTCAGCAACGTGAGCAGGATGCCGACTTTAGCTTGCACTACCACGACAGCCACCCCATGCCGAGCATGCACCATCCGCCACAGCAGCATCAGCAGCAGCAGCCATACATGGCTCATGCCGGTCCTCCGCAACCAGACGTGCTAGGCCAGCTGTTCATGCGCGCAAAGCAAAACCACAATGGCCTAGGGTGATGTGTTTCCGCTCAATGGCTATGCCACGCACTCCCGTTCGAACGCACAAGTATTTGTACCATCCGGAGCGCGCCTATCGATACATGCCTGCAAATAGGCTCCGGCATCGCATCACGCTTGTTCAGTGATATGCAGGTCCTGCTGAGACGCGTCTCCATGCCTTCCGCGTACTCCCTTGGCTGACCTCACATACGGAGAGCAAACATCAGCAACTTATCTGGGTCTCCTGTTCATCCAGACTCGGTGATTTAGTACTTTCATGAAGCGCGCATGGCATCTATTGCCAGAGAAACGTAGTAGGTACATAATGCTGGTCATCATCTACACAGCATCATCAACGCAGGTCTGTTCGGGTGCATCCACTGGACCATGACATTGTTCAGGACGGTCCTTTCACGTTGGTAATTGATAGTCAAAAAGATACCCGTTTTCAAGATAAATCTTATGGTTCAAAAACGCAAAATTTTGGTGTTACGCAAATAGTCTTTTCGCGCTCTGATACCACGCGTCGATGGTTTGATAAGGCTGGCTAGCAATGACCTCACCCCTCCCGCACACCCCTGTCATTTACCCCACGGCGGGGCATCCACTGTCCCAAAAATTTCCCGTCGCAACAGTCCAACATCACAAACGTACAAGACTGCACCACTCAGACACAATCGCATACCATGACAGAAGGTGTCCGAGTTCTCCTTGTCGGCAATGGCGGCCGTGAGCACGCTTTGGCTTGGAAATTACTGCATTCACCTTCGACTGAGCACATTTACGTTTGCCCCGGTAACGGAGGGACCGCAACCCTTTCGTCAAAAGTCACCAATGTCACACACATCAAGGACACCGATTTCGCCGGCCTTGTCGAATTCGCTAAGGAGAAGCAAGTGAACTTGTTGATACCAGGACCTGAGGCACCGCTAGTTGCAGGCATTGTAGATTACTTCAAGGAGAATGGACTCGAGAGCATCAAGGCGTTTGGCCCTTCGAAAAAGGCCGCAACCATGGAAGGCAGCAAGACTTTTAGCAAGGACTTTATGAAGCGACACAACATTCCCACTGCAGCGTATGAAAACTTTAGCAAATACGAGGATGCCAAAGCCTACCTGGACACCATTTCACACTCGGTAGTGATCAAGGCCTCGGGCCTGGCAGCAGGAAAGGGTGTCGTCATACCCCAGACCAAGGAGGAGGCCCACGCGGCGCTCAAAGACATCATGTTGGACCGCGAGTTTGGCGCAGCCGGCGACGAGGTGGTAATTGAGGAGTTCCTTGAGGGCGATGAATTGTCGATTCTTACTTTTAGCGACGGCCGCACTATCAAGTCTCTCCCGCCTGCACAAGACCACAAGCGCATTTTCGATAACGACCAGGGTCCCAACACTGGAGGCATGGGCACGTATGCTCCAACGCGCATTGCACCACGCGAGGTCCTCGATCGCGTCGACAAGGAAATTCTGCAGCCCACTATTGACGGCATGCGAAGCGAGGGCTTCGAGTTCAAGGGCGTGCTGTTCACCGGCCTGATGATGACCAAGGATGGACCAAAGGTACTTGAGTACAACGTCCGCTTCGGTGACCCCGAAACGCAGAGTCTGTTGGCGCTTATGGAGGGCGACCTTGCCCAGGTTATGGTCGCATGCGCAGATGGACGGTTAGCAGATGTCGATGTCAAGGTATCCGACCGCTCCGCCGCTACCGTGGTAGTTGCGGCCGGCGGGTATCCAGGCAGCTACGCAAAGGGCACAGTCATGAAACTAGATGCTACACCAGAAGGTGAGCTACGATCTGATTATTGTAAACTGACCGTATGGGGTGTGCTGACTATAGACAGATGTCATACTATTCCACGCCGGAACTTCCTTCTCCGACAACACACTCAAGACGTCTGGCGGGCGTGTCATCGCATCAACTGCAACTGCGCCTACGCTTGAGGAAGCCGTAGCAAAGGCCTACGAGGGTGTTGAGTGCATACACTTTGAGGGCATGCAGTACCGCAAGGATATTGCGGGGCGGGCGTTGAAGAAGTAGTAAAAATTGCGTACTTGGGAAATTATTGGGCAGTTGGCGTTTTTTTGACGAAGGAGGTGAATACCACATATACACCCGTGTCAGTAGCAAAAATTCTAGGCATCTACAATGGAGTCTCCTACCTTGCTATTGTCTACATTGTATCGATACTAGTTAGCTCCTGGGAAGCGCTCCTATCAGCAAAAGGCTGTCTTTTGCAACCAAAAGAGCCATGATACTGTAGCATGAGGAAATTAGCCCCGGTTCTACCCTCTCAATCATTATTCTCGCTCGAGAATCTTGGAATATGTCTCCTTTTTCTTCTTTTTTTCCTTTCTGTGCTTCTTCTGCTCAGGTGAAGCGGATTCGTCTTCCTTTTTCCGCTTCTTACTTGAGGCATTGTTGTCGTCGTCTATCTTCTCCTTGGCACCAGACTCGCCACCGCCGCCACTATTTACAGCTGGAGTATCTGTACCTTGATTGATCTTGGCCTTTTCTTCTTGCTCTTTGAGCCGCGCCGCCCTCAGCTCGTCCTTCTGTCGTATAGCGTCCTTTAGCACGGGGCTGTCTCGCTTGAGGGCGTCGGCTGCAGCTGCAACGCCAGCCTGGACTTTGTTTTGACCTTCGCCACTGCCGAGCCACTCGTCGTTGTAACCCCACCCTGTGAGATAGATACCCATATGGTAGCATTGAACACTGTTGGAGTCGTACGTCATGGGTTTCTCCTCCTTTGTGATGAGCTTGACACCCTTCCCGAGGACCAGCTTGTTGAGTTGGTCGCGCGCTTGAGGGTTCTCGATAATCTTCTCCCTGAAGCCGAGCAGCTGTGGCGCCCAAAGTTCTGTGAGCCATGCCTCAGCCGCCTCGAAACCGTGCGTTGGGTCAGAAAGAACGACTGCTGCGACGTAGGCCTCGACCATGTCGGCGACGACTTTGTGGTATTGCTTCGAGTTCTTGTCCCATTGGGCCCGGTGCTTCAGTCGATCCGGAAAACCGTACGCCTCGGAGAATTTGCCCAATGTCGAGTTCTCGACCAGACGTTCGCGCCACATGCACAGCTCCGGAACATCGACGTGTGGGAAGCGGTTGTAGAGCGCGCGTGAGGCAATGAGTTCGATGTAGGCGTCGCCGAGCAGCTCAAGACGTTCGTAGTCTAGGCTGAGGTCTCCGCCCAGCGAAGAGCCGGGGATACTGGGGTCGTAGATAGCGGATCGATGGGTGAAGACGGCTTCGTGGAGATGGGGCTCGGCGATGGGGGGCAGAGGGGGCAAATCTTTAGATTCTTGGACTTTGCGATGTACGTAATCGGGAACCGCGACCTGGACGGCCTTGTCGGGTCGCTTTGCGTCGAGTTCGCGTTTCGCTTGCGATGAAGTGCCGTGGTCGCGAGCGCAAAGCCGGCGTCGCAGCTCATTTGCGTGGTAGAGAATTTCCTTGTCTGCTCCAGGAGTGGTCTCTTCGGCGACGAACCTGTCCAACAAAGCTACCAGGCCCGTTTGCATACTCGCCGAGGAGAGTTCTGGTTGCGGTGCATTGCGCTGGAGAGGTGGGTTGTGCTTCTTGCTGTGGTGATCGCGGCTATAATGATTGAAACCTCCTCCACGTTTGTGCGATGCCATGACGGTGCACGAGTGGCCGACCCGGTCCTAACTTTTTTTCTTGTTATGGAAGTGGAAGAGAGCATTAACGACCAAAAAGTTGTATGGACAGGGCGGCGGGCGCTAGTTGCGGGCGCCAAGGGTACCTCCGCCGGCCATTTATGTCGACGGCGCACCCAGCACGAAGACTAAGCATTGCAAGCATAATGGCAGTCCCACGACAGCGGGTGCTGGACCTGATGAGGGTGTGTTGCTTTCTTTTTCATGTTCTTTATCTTCCCGTGTCCAGGTTGTGTGTTGGGTCTGTATTTTGACATGCGCGCAGGTTCAGTGCAAGGTCTTCAACACCACATATAATCCCGAACGCCTGCGCCTAGGATCGCGTATCCTTCATCAGCGCCTCAAGGGCCCGTCAGTCGCCTCATACTACCCGCCGCGGATAGGAACAATTCCCCAGCTGCGAAGCCTGTACCCCGAACGCCAGATCATAGACGAAGCAGAGGAAGACTGGTTAGAGCATCTGAATGTTGCAAAGTCAAGAGGCAAGGGTGCGCCCAAGAAAAAGAGGACTGCTGCCGGTAGGTACCCACTGATGCGGCTTGCTAATATTGTTGCTGACCCTTTGTAGAATCCAAGAAATTTAACAAGAGGAAGTAGGCGGGTTAGTGGCCTGCTTCTACGGTCTAAATGTACAATACAGAGACGTATGCAATCACTACACTTTGCGTCCGCGTGTCGCCCCAGCCACCCTATAACTTACCCTTGGCTGCCTTTTTCTCTTGTGCCGCCCATTCTCTATCAAATTCATCGTCCCACGCTGTTCGGACAACACGGTGCTCGGGCTGTACTGGCACATTCACCTTGTGATGCTCGACTGTGCAATATGTCGTCTTTCCATCCAGACTGGTCATATCGCCTCTAATCATTGCCATTTGCTTGCCTATACTCACCACTTTACTGTTGAGCCTGACCTTTACTCCAATCGGCACGGCTTTGAGGTAAGAAATATTGAGGGAGCGTGTCACGCCGCCCATGAATTCCCAGAAGCCGGGCCGCGCCAGAGGGCATAATGCCGTCGTGGTGGACATGTCGAATATGACGCCTGCAGCTCCGCCGTGCATGACATCTAATTCACCACTCAGTTTAGGCCGCTGGCTATGACAAAAGACGTACTGTTCAGGTTGGAGAAGTTGGGTGCCATGAACATTTCATACGTCACTGTTCCGTCGGTCGTGGCATCCACAAGCTCTAAGCTGTTCATGACTTGGTTGTCAAAGTCCTCGGGATCGTTAGTTCAAGCAACCATTTGTACACCAACTCGCGCATCTCACAATATGATCTTTTGGCCGCTTTTCTGCAAGCAGTTTGTACTTGTCGAACATGGCGCGTACAGCCGCTATTGCTTTTTGCCGATCAGCCCCTGGGTCACTCATCATGGATTTAGAGAAAGGCAAAGTGCTATGGTAAATACGCGAGATGTGTCTGTATCAGTATGTATGTTATCTGGGATATCGGAAAGACGCCCGTTCCCGACGACGCCATCGGCTCGGTCGCGTGGTAGTGACGGTGGGCAATCGGCAGGGCGGCGCGCTTTGAAGCCTCGGCTCATTCGCTCAATCATTGCATGATCACCATCCAAGGGGGGCCCGCCTTGCTCAAGTCACTCCATCCATGTCTCCACCGAAAGGGTTGCCAACCTGTCCTTTTTTTCTATCGAGCGTCGGCGTCTGTGTGCGTGTCTGTGTCTGTGTGCAATGACTCTCGAGCATCTAGTACCCAGGTACAGGTAGTAAGCTCGACTTAGCGGCGTCTGGGACTTCCCAGGTTGTTTCATCCTCATGGCTCGCCCTCGTCTAGCGTACGGCGATACTTTGTGATGACAAGACTGACAAACACAACGCGTTCCCGCCACCAATAAGCCGACAACCACAGCCGATCCTATTCTTGGGCCAGTACAGTAATACACAATTGCCTAGATGCTGGCTTGGTAGTCTGAGCTGTTCTTAATTGCTTCCCCCCTTCGTCCAGCATTCGCTACGTTGTCTTTAATTAGACGGGCCGCCGCCCAGTAGTACCTGTGTCCACATCACCCTTTGCTCTCTCGGTGTCTCGTACAACCAGACATCACAAGCAAGACTTCACCATGGGCTCAGAGACAGCGCCCGTGTCTGCGACACTGCGGAAAAGGGTGTTGAAAGTATTATTCATTTCCCTGCTGCTTGACTTGGTACGTCATCTCTGGTCGCAACTAACTGAGCGCATGCACTGACAGCCTTGGGCTTTAGATATCATTCACATTCATCCTCCCGCTGTTTCCCAAACTAATCGAATTCTATCGTAACCATGAAACCGGCGACCCCGACACAATCCTTTCCAAAATCCTCGCCGGTCTCAATGCATACAAGAACTCGTTCGCGAAGCCCATCAACTCCCGCTATGACATTGTCCTCCTCGGCGGCGCACTCGGCTCGCTCTTTTCCCTCTGCCAGGCAATCGCATCGCCCTTTATTGGCACGCTCTCGGACAAATATGGAAGGCGTACTGCACTGCTATGGTCCATGGTCGGAAACATCTTCAGCGTGGCGTTGTGGGTTGCAGCCACCGACTTCCGGACTTTCCTTGCGAGCAGGATCGTGGGTGGACTGAGCGAGGGCAACGTGCAGCTTGCCATGGCGATTGCTACAGATATCAGCGATGACAGCCAGAGAGGGTCAACAATGGCGCTTGTGGGCGTCTGCTTCAGCATCGCTTTCACGTTTGGACCCGCTCTGGGTGCATATCTCTCGACGCTGCAGATCATGGACAAGAACCCCTTTGCCATGGCAGCGGGCTTCTCCCTGTTTCTCATTGTCTCGGAGACAATTTACCTATACATCAGCCTTCCGGAGACGCTTCCTTCGGCAAACAAGAGTGAGAATGGGATGGCAAATGGAAAACTCAAGGATGCGGACAAGCCGAAGCCTCGTATCCGGACGAACTCGCACTTTCTTCTCAACGCCACGCATTTTACCTTTATCCTGTTCTTCAGCGGCATGGAGTTCTCGCTTCCCTTTATGACTTACGACCTGTTTGCCTATCAAGCAAAGGATTCGGGGCGGCTACTCGGGTTCATTGGATTGGTTGCATCGCTGCTCCAGGGGTCAGTGGTGCGTCGCATGCACCCACTTAAGGTGGTTCAGATGGGAGTCGTCAGCTGTACCATAGCCTTTGTTATGCTGGGCAGAGTGCAGACTCAGGGTGCACTCTATGGGGCAGCAGCCCTTTTGGCCGTGACGAGCGCGACGGTTGTGACTGGCTTGAACAGTCTGTCGTCTTTCGAAGCTGGTGCGGGTGAACGTGGAAACAAGCTGGGAAACCATCGAAGTTTTGGTAAGTTCAGAAAAGACCACTGTGAAATCGCAATCGCTAACTCTCTCTCTCTCAGGCCAAATTGGACGTTCTCTAGGACCCTTGGTCTTCTGCACGCTATACTGGTGGGCAGGCCGAGAAACAGCGTACGCGACCGGAGCTGCGGGTATGGTGGCTGTATGTGGATTGGTGTTTGGAGGGCTGAAGGTACCGCCCGGGACAGAAAACATTGGCAAGAAGAAGCAGAAGACAGTCGAGTAGATGTGATGTTTGGCTGTGGGTGTTGATTCATGTATAAATACAATAGCATTTTCTTTTTCTGTTCAACGCTATGTACTTTCCCAGCTCGAGGTCATGTCCAGTAAAACGGCAGTTCTGCAACTATATGAACATGGAGTGGACATAGGACGTATTGATATGGTGTACTTACATGCCTACTCAATAGTTAACAAATAGTATGCACGTCTGGACGCCATAATTATTAGTCCGACGCTCGGCACGCCTACCGCCGACCCGTTACCCGCACCAATGCCGCTCGTTGGCTTAGGAGCAGATCTACACGTAACCGCGCCAGCTCCCCCGCACATATTAAGCCTAGCACCCAAGTGAACCTCGGCTTCTGCTTCTGTTTTGTCGTTGTCACCAGGGATGGAGGCCAGGAGCTCGGTTCGGCGTGTTGGCTCCATGGAAGGGCCGCTATCGCCTTTGTTTTCGGACAATGCTTCTGTCAGCATCTGTCCGCCTACTACTTAAACAACAAGCACGCCCCATCGTGTAACAAAGCGGCGGTCAGGAACATGGACCCTACAACCACTGCTGCAGCCCTGGCTGCAGCTTCAGCTCTTGCAGCATACGTCAATGCAAAGTATCACGTTGCACAGGACATCAATACGTTGAAGTTCAAGAGAAACTCGACAAAGTACTATGAACAGCTTGGTATGCATCTCCCGCATGTCCCCTTCATCGGCTCGCAACGGCAACCTTTACAATCACCCTCTACCCATGCTAAGCCTAAACAGTGAAAACAAACCGCCAATCCCCATGGTACACATTTCCCCCGCAAGTAGAAAGATACGGCGACAACTTGTGCATCTGGTCCCGCGCCAAATCCTACACATGGCGACAAGTCCACGACCGCGCCGTGCAGTGGGCGAACTTCTTCCTTGCCCAGGGCGTGAAACCTGGCGATATGGTTGCCACCTACCTCATGAATAGTGCCGATTTCATGGTCATCTGGCTCGGTCTCTTCTGTATCGGCTGTGCTCCAGCCCATTTGAACTACAACCTGAAAGACGAGGGACTAGTGCACTGCTTGAAAATCGCTGGAGTAAAGCTTGTGCTTATTGATGAAGACGAAGGTTGTTCGGAGAGATTCGAAAATGTCAGAGCCACAGTGGAAGACATGGGCATCCGTGCGTTCAAGGTGGATGAGAACATGTTGGCAGAAGTTTATCAGGGAAGCACTGCGGTACCAGGCGATGAATTCAGGGAAAATGTGCGTGGGAGGGACCCCACATGTTTGCTCTATACCTCCGGAACAACCGGGCTACCAAAAGCAGGCAAGTACATGGTCAGCCGGTTTCACGAGAGGGGAGATCCAGACGATCTTTCCTTCGGCCAGAAGGCTGGACCAGACGGCGACCGGTGGTATTGCTGCATGCCTCTGTTTCACGGAACAGGAGGAATGCTCACTCTGAGTGCAATCACGAGTGGCTTGAGCGTGGCCATAGGACGCAAGTTCTCCGTCCGCACATTCTGGGACGATATCCACGACTCGCAGGCTACAATGTTTGTCTACGTTGGTGAAACAGCGCGTTATCTACTAATGGCGCCACCACACCCAAGAGAGAGGGATCATCGATTACGGGGCATGTATGGCAACGGCATGCGCCCAGATGTCTGGCGTCGGTTTAAAGAGCGCTTCAACGTCCCAGAAGTCATGGAATTCTTCAACTCGACTGAAGGCGTGCTGGGTCTGGTCGTCCACAACAAGGGCCCGTTTACGGACAACGCTCTTGCTCAACACGGTGCCCTTGTCAGAGCAGCACTGCACAACATCTACATACCCGTAGCTGTTGAACCGGAAACTGGAGAACTGCTACGCGACCCCAAGACTGGCTTTGTCAAGCGTAATTCGTACAATGAAGGTGGCGAGATTCTAGTTGCTGTACCCAGTGAGGACACATTTGCTGGTTACCATAATAATCCGAAAGCGACGGCGAAGAAGTTTGAAAGAGACGTATTCAAGAAAGGGGACTTGTACTATCGATCTGGCGATGCGCTAAGAAGAGATGACGATGGGAGATGGTTCTTCATGGATAGGCTGGGCGACACATTCCGTTGGAAGAGCGAAAACGTATCGACGGCCGAAATTGCCGAAGTGCTAGGAAAGTTCCCTGGCGTTGATGAAGCTATCGTATACGGTACACTGGTTCCCGGGCATGACGGTCGTGCTGGCTGTGTAGCTCTTCGATTATCCCCTGGTACTAGCCCCGAGGCATTCGACTGGAAGGCACTACTAGAATACGCACGAGGCAAGTTGCCAAGATACGCAGTACCCGTATTCCTGCGATTGGTCAAAGAAGCAAGTAATACGGATAATCAGAAGCAGAACAAGGCACCGTTGAGGAATGAGGGTATCGAGATCGACAAGTACGGAAGTAAGGTTGTCGGGGGTGCCGATGATGTTGTCATGTGGATGAAGCCTGGCGAGGATAGATATGTGAAATTTACACTGGAAGATTTGGAGGCGCTGAGAAGTGGTAAGATTCTATTGTAGGTAGTAGAAGGTCAAGATATATACTATAATTGCCGGATATACATCCATAGTACCGCTAAACTAGTCTGCATGCATGGCATCATGCGTGATTTCAATGATACTCTTTGTGACGCTTCTTGGACTGAACAATCGCCGTATCTACAGCTATTTTTTTCGCGGTATTCCAAAATGAGAGTGGTTCCTAGTGCCTATACCATAAACCAATTACTAGTTGTTGTATTGGCTGATACAGGCTATCTAAAATGGTGTAGTAGTCAGTTACTGAAAAATTAAAAAGGCTTTCTTCCGCAATCTAAAACTCGAAAACTCCTTGCCACAAATTAAGACGTTACAAAGAAAATCGGTTTTAATACTAAGATGGCATTCAAAAATCTAGAAGTTAACTTTTGAGTTCTGAACCAATTACATGCAGGGCTGACTATACTACTACCAACGGCCCAGCGCACGATTGGGCGTCATCGGCGGGAAGACTGCTTACTTACACCGATATCTGCGAGACCCTTTGCTCTCAAAAGCGTAAGTATAGTGCTGACATATGTATGTCCATACTTGTCTAAGTGCGACGCATGTTCCATGCAAACTTATGCCTTATCCCACCATACCTGACGCATTCCAAATGCCCCCCTCTCTTACCGTCTCAAAAAAAGCGCACACAAATAACAACTTGAGCGTTCGATAAGCAGGATTCCAAATGGTTTTGCCAAACTACGGGCCGAATAACTTCGTATTCAAGACGGTTTCCGACTTGCCGCTTATCAAAAGGTGGGGCGTGATTGGTCCATTGCGGACCATCAAGGTACCATAGTCCTTGGTACGAGAGTGAAGACACGCACACGTTTTGCCAAGGGTGGTGGGGGATTTTTTTTTCCTTTGGCAGAAAAAGTAGGGTTGAGCGGGAACTTTATATGCTTCTTTGTCGTCATTACAGGCGGGTTGGTTACGCACGGCTGGACACTACGATGTCGGAATTGGAGATACGATTGGTTCGCAAGCTTGGTATGTATTTCTGTGGTTACTTTTGGTATCATTCTACAGAGACCTAATAACAAAAAAATCGACAGATTGCTTTATTTTGGTTAGATCGTTGTGAATGCTCAGTCGTACTGGGTGGAGCTAATATCTGCACTAGGTGTACTGTTGTGCTGCCTACTTTTTCAATTATCTGGATCGATCCGCGTTCTCCAATGCCTATGTATCCGGACTAAAGGAGTCCCTGAAGCTGGAGGGCAACCAATACAGCATCTTGCTCTCCATGTTCACGGCTGGTAGCTGTACCGGCCAGATACCTCATGCCCTAATCATCCAAAAGGTTGCACCTCGCTTTTGGCTCCCCTTCACCCTGATCGTATGGTCCGTCTTGACCATGTGTTCAGCGGCATGCAAGACGTACGCCCAACTTTGCGTCGCCCGCTATTTGCAGGGGTTCTTCGAAGCAAGTCTGTACAGCGGTACCATTTATATTCTTGGATCCTGGTACAAGCCTTTGGAGATTGCCAAAAGAACCGCCATCTTCACGGCTATTGGACAGATCGGCAGCATGTTTGCCGGTATCATGATGACGGCAATGAATGAGAGTCTACATGGGCAAACCTCTCTTGCAGGCTGGCAATGGGTCTTTATCATCAGTACGCATGTTACACCGTATAGCCAATGTCGACACTAACACATTTAAGACGGGGCTATGGGAATCCCTTTTGGCATCTTTGGTCTGTTGTTCTTTCCAAATCTGCCAGAGTCCCCCAACACTCCATACCTCAGCAAAGAGGAAATACAACTCGCGTTAGACCGTCTGCCGCCCAAAAGAGACTGGGGTCACGATATCAGCCTCAAGTCACTGGTCAAGCGGCTTCTTTGGAAACCAGACGTTTACATACTATCCCTCTACTCTATGATAGGATGCGCACTCGAAGCCATTGTTCTTCAGGGTCTTTTCTTACTCTGGATGAAAGCCAATATCGGCCAGTTTCCCTCGTATGCGACGACTACTTACCCTCTGGGCATCCAAGCCGTATCTATAGTTTCAAACATTGGAGCTGGCTACATCATAGACATGACTAATCGTCGTATACCCATGGTCATCCTAGCCGGAGTCTTGCAGCTTCTTGTGGCGATTCTCCTGTTGGTCCCTAATCTGTCTACCGCTGGCGTATTGTTCGCGTTCTACCTGGCTGGTACATCGTACATTGTGAATCCAGTCATGTATGGATGGGCGAGTATCATCTGCCAGCGGAACGGTGACGACGCCTCGAGATCAGTCATACTTTACATCATGAGTATGGTGCAATCCATACTATACACCTTTTGGGGCATTGCCTTTTATCCTGCGACAGATGCACCATATTGGAAGAAGGGCTACATCACCATGATTATAGTGGTGTTTGCCTTCTTTGGTTCAACAGCAGCTGTACAATGGGTGCGTATAATATTGTGAAGAATGATGACTGTAAACTGACCACAAACACAGTTGGACACAAGGTCAAAAATCACAGCAAGCAGCGAGGCAGAATTCGTTTACATTGAGAGCGAAACAGCTGATGATCGGAACAAGAAGGATTGAGGTCTTGCATAAAAAGATAGGGGTGGGCACACTTTTTGTGAAGATCCAGATTCGATAAAGTCCTTCGTATCCGGTACCATTCTCTGCTAAGCTTGGGTCAAATGATAAAATATCGAATCGGATCGAATCGAATCCTATAATCCGGGGGATATACTCACGCCCGCGATATTCCCTTTGCATGGTCAGAAGGTGGTCCTGTGCGATCTGCCCCGAGCCGTTGTACGGGTTCGTGTCTTCGAGAATGCAGCACTTGTGCCGAGCTCCTTCCCGTCATTCGATTTTTTTATGCACACTGTATGATTTGCTGCCCTTTCAATGCAGAATGAGGCCAGAACATGGATGTGCGTTTGCTTGTAGTTGGCAGCAAGAATCTGTGTAGCCAGGAGTAGCCCCGAATCACATACCAAAAAGCAGTGGATCACGCTCAGGCGAGTAGGGTGAAGTGGGAAGGAGTGCAGGTTTCGAGTACGAGAAGGGAAAGTTTCATAACAGCTCAAGTGTTTGAGCGGAGCTATATCGTAGAAACTTAAGGGACAGGTATGTGTAGAAAAAAGGACGTGCACAAGTTGTTCCCCAAGACAAGCGAAGACGAATCAAGTCATGCCATGGCCAAGATGGAATTCGACTTATTGAAGCTTGGGCCGACTCATTTTGCAACTTCTCTCCGACCACACAGACATCGTATTCATGTCCGATGTCAATGCAGGTGCAACGTTGGACACAGGTCGGATAGAAGCCGTGGCGGACACCGCATTCAATGTTTCTTTGATGGTGATGGGCACGGTAGCATTGTGCCAACCAAGGTGTACTGGCTATAGTAGTCGACATATGGAAGCCCGGGTTCGACCATTTGTTTGAGACGCAGGCGTTGTTTTATGCTCGTCAAGCAATAGCAGGCGAGTGAGAGAGAGAGTGAGAGGGAGGAGAAGGCACACCACGTAAAGTCTCTGGGTCAGATGTTTCGGGAGGTAAAGCCGTTGATGCGCAGGATACATTAGATATGGAATGGGGAGATGTGACGACTGGAGTAGGCAGGCGAGGCGACGACAGCTGAGAGGATCGGCAACGGCCTTGCAAGCTTCCGGTATCGCAGAACGTGGGGCAGGACTGGATTACCGGAAGGGGTCGCAAACAACCGTTGACTTGGCACACGCATCCGCTGAACGTCGCGAGGGTATTGTGGAGATTGAATTCGGGCCTAAGGTTACGTAGCTAAAGCTTCATGAATTGATAACACACTTCCCCGGTGCATTGCCTGCGTACACATACTACAATGGTCCAGCTCCCCCGGTGCCAGGATAAAGCTGCTCGTCAAATACGTAGTATAACCTTAGAATCTAACAGCGTGATTAGTGTTGCAAAACGCCCCTGAACGCCACCAATTTCCTAGTCGCCCTTTGTCGACTGTTCGACTAGGAGAACAGGCCCCTTCAGGCGTTTTTACAACGGTGGCTAGTGGCAATCCCAGCCTCGCTGTTCGTCCTCCACCATCACGGCCCAGACGGTGCTCCATGGTCACGCCTACGCGCCTCACCTTCGACTTTGCCCAAAGCCAGATTTTTCTCAGCCTCAATCTCTTTTTTTTTTTACTGATCCCTTCAACCTCGGTGACGTCTTGGCAGCGACACCCAGCCAGCCGTGTTCATGGGATGCCTTGATCTCTAGGGCGTGAAACGCCAAATGTGCGCACTGCATTTCTAGCCAGCTTCATTATGCCATCCGGTGAAGGTGACAACAGCTGCTCGCTCACGGTCGCGTTCGCCCACAGTTCCCACTGGCCGTGACAGTTTCTCAAGCGAGAGGCCGTTCCACCGGATTTGCCCCGTCACGTTTCAGATGCTCATTGTGCCATGCTGCTCGAACACTACAAGTCTCGGATGAGGGCCCCAGACTCGTCCCGCTCCTTTACAGTCTCCTCATTTACGAGTAATGACCTATGATTACAGCCACAGAGTGGGGCTATACCGACTGCAAATATCATCCATCCTCATCTACGTTGGACCAGGGAAAGTAGTGTACAGCACCTGATGCCTGCACACCAGCCGCACAGCCAATAATATCAGCCATGTCACTCTTCTCCCACGCGGATGCCCTACCCCCTGGCGCTCTGACGGCATACACTACTTTACCCAATCGACAAGTACCCGCCATGGTGCCAGGCAAAAAATGTTTATGGGGCGGGACAAGCATGCAGCGAATCAGAACAAAGCAAAACGCTTTAGTATGCATGTTTCGCCTCGAAAAACTGGATTACATGGCACATCAGGCCTACACCCGGTCCGTTTTCGCGACAAGCGTCGAACCTGCTAGCCATGGGTTCGCACATGGCAAGGAGAAAGTGGCAGGCTACCTGCTTGTCACCTACTAGTAAGGAATGAGGATGAAGCTCAATATATCAAGCCAATTTGGCAATAGTGGCCCTCTTTTGTCGATAAGAGCTGGACTCTGAGTCTGTCAATCCTTCTGTATGCATGCAGTGGCGCAGGCTTCGCCCACATATTACTACGCTCTGCTGATTCAAGCTACTCTCATCACAGCGAGCATCCTTCGTCTTCGTCTTCTTCTTATCCGTTGTGTCTGCTTCTTTCCGGTTTTCCGTTTCCTTCGATTTACTTTCTTCTACCAGATTGCCAACCATGGCGCATACAGCTTCTCCATATGTGCTTGCTCCTCGGTTACCCGATCCTCCAGTCCGCGTCAACCTTAACGACTACGCCGCCACCGCTAAGGCGCACGCTACGTCGAGAAAATACATGCACGACCTATTTCCAGGCCAGAATAAGCCTTTGCCTCTCCCAAAAGATAGCGAAACGCAGAATCGACCCGTGTACGCAAAGCCATCCCACAGTTCGCGCCAACGACATGTCTTGGAGGAGCGGCTCGCCCCGATTCGAGCTTCAGAGGATTCCATCGACCGACGATCACTAGAATGCCTAATTATGCTCGATGAATCACCGGTCCGCGGACCTCAGAGGACGGTGATGACTTCGAACCCTGTCCCAGCACCTCTCTACGTCACCAAGCGTTCTCCTTCTCTTAGGCGTAAAGACAGCACAACAAAGCCAGCGATTGAGCGGACACACTCAGTCAAAGGTTCCACACATACCAACGTAACAAGGCGCTCGCTACTACAGCTACCCCAAGGCCTACTGGGGCATATACTAGCTTACGTTTTTGCCGAAGAACGTGCTGTATCGATCACACCATATCAATCGCGGATTACGCCGCAGCGCTACCGACATCGCCATGGTCCCAATGCTGTGGATATCCGATCCGTCATGATGCACCCTGCTCTCCGCGTCTGCCAGCAGATGCGTGCAATGGGTCTAAATATTCTGTACCGCGACAGTCTGTTTTCCATCGACCTGTGCGATGCTCGCAGCGCTTCGCATTCACACGAAAAGGATGCGGGAGGCAAGCACTGGGACTGTTGGACAAATGGAAAACCCCCTCACATGGTCCAGTCTGTACTCACACACGCGTGCAACTTGCGCTTCCAGCTGCCCGTCTCGGGTATGGAAACCGCACCGCTGCTCGGAGCGGTAAAGCGGAAAAAGGACAACCACGAGGACGGATGCGTGGTCGTGGAATCTCTTCGCAACATCGCAACGCTGATTACCGGTTTGCCCACGGTTCTGCAAACAGCACGGCCACGGTCATCAAGTCCAGTCGCACCAAAAGCGTTGCGGCGCAAGCTGAGTATTCGCGGGCTGAAGCGCCATGACTCGCTGGAATTCGTGTGCCGAGGCGATAACGCGCTCCAATCTCCGCCGCCCAGGGAGCCGCTCAGTACGCTCGAGGTTGTCCTCGTGAAACCGGGTGCAACGGCCGAAGTGCACCCTCAGACGCTCGAGATGATTGCAATCTGCAGCAGCATCCCCGTCTGGGACAATCTCGAATACCACCTTGAGCTCGAGGGCGTCCGCAAGCTCTGGGCCAAGCGCACAATGGGAAAGTGGTTGGGCAGTGAACCGGATGCGGGTAAATTGGTGCTTGGTATGTTTTGAACACGACTCGTTTTCTTTCGGTATTTTGCTAACTCGGGTTAGATCTTCAGGCTCTAGGCTATCCGCGCCCCATGACCGAGTCGTCGCCGCAGAATTCCGGCAGGGTAGACATGTTTCACAGGCACAGATCGAGACCTACGCAGGACTCCATCGATGGCCTCACGCATAGGTATCTGCAGGCGCCCTCAAAAAGTAGTCGGAATCAAAGAGCATCCAAAGAAGGTACCATGGCGCGGAAAATGAGGGAAATGGAGAGCCTTTCCAAGATGTCGCTGCTAAGAGGGGCCAAGCAGCCGCCGACAGTGGAAGAGATTCAGCGGGTTGCATCGGATATTCGGCGAGGAACGTACTAAACGTCAATATCATCAGTGTATATCCCTTGCCTATAGTACTCGTGTTGCCAAGTACCATGTTGGGAAGGAGCGGAGTTGCTTCGTGATGTACCGCTGACCATTTCCGTCTATTCAACCATTGCCCACAGTATATCCCAAGACATTCTTACGTATTCTAGGCACTCTGGATTGCCGCTCTCTATTATAATTTACCATCTGAAAACTGTACGACAGCCCATTTGCCACTCCATGCCCACTTTCGTGCTCCGCTGTCTCCTCCACCACCCTCCGTAGCTCTGAGTCGCTCGTCTTCACTTGTTTGCAACCCAACCACAACGTCAGCTTTGCAAGTACGGAGCGCAAGTACACGGAGCCCTGAGCCAGGGCCCATAGGTCCAATGGCCTCGGTGAAAGGTGTTGTAGCGGGCCAGGCAGCCTTTCAAAAATATTAGCAGAGTCAATATATAAAGTGCTGACCAAACTCACATCAGCAGTCAGCTTCCGGTAGTTCAAATCGCCTTTGAAGATGACCAACTCGCTCTCCTTGAGGTCCTCGTAAAGCTCCGGTTCCATCTTGGGAAGCCGCCAGTAGCTTCCAGCCGCAGTCCAGAAGTGATTGGGTCGCAGCATCAACTGACCCTCGGCGTGCATGGTACTCCAGTGCTGGAACAAAAACTTCAGGTTGGAGCTCTCGGTTTCCGAAAGAGGTACAACCTCCTTTCCATTGTGCTTCTCATCGTCGGATAGCGCTTCGTAGAAACTATGCGGATCGGCCAGTGCAGACAGAAGGGCACCAAAGTCGGCCGGCAATACATCTGAGACGAACCAGGGAATAGATTTGGGGTGAAAAACAACGTTCATGGCGAGGCCAGAGGCGATGAGGTAGCCGGCTAGTATCAGATCGACGAAGAGTTCAAAGCCGGCATTATCGAGGACAATGTCAACGCGCCTCTCTTTCTTACCCCCCTTTTGCGCGGTAGAGAGTACCTTGAAGGCCTTATCCAAGTCGTTCACCAGGATGTTCTTCTCTGACTTCTTGCGCGCCTCGGAGCCCTGCAGCTTCTGAATATCCTCATAGGAAAGATTCGTTAAGAGTGAAAGATCCGTTGCATTTCCCCAAAGACAAATCTCACACATTTCAGTGAAGAGAAGCTTTTCAGCAGCCTCAAGTTGCTCTTGGGTGTCTGCGCCACTAATAGTTTTTTTCTGCTCCAGCTCAGTGACAATGTCCTTGTAGCGCGCGGCGAGCTCGAGAACGGCGGGGCGGGAGGACTTGAAAGTAGCCATTTTCTGGCGAGCAAAGATGTCATATGAGCGCCATTTGTCACTCTGTTTGAAGATGCTCGATATGCGTCTTGCTATGGCGGTTAGCCTCGACCACGACAGACAGAAACGGCACTCACCGATACAAATAGCACTCTGCATACAGCCAGGGCACATTGTGCCATTTGGGATTGCCTCTGGCGGCTAACTCCTCGTTGTACGCCTTGACGTCGGGTTCGCCATCATCGGGGATGGGCGTCAGCTCGCGGTCGTGTTGCAGTTCGTACTTGAGCTTGGCTAGTTCGGCAACAATCTGTTTACCCTGGCTGATGGCCTCCTCTTCTTTGGTGCTGTGCAACGAGCGATGAACGTCATCAATGCCTTGTGTTATGATGATGGGCCATCGCGAGCGCGCCGATGTGTGGGCAAACGACGTGGCGTCGCTGGTGCTGTATTGCGCGACAGGGAAAGTGTCACACTCCATTCTGGTAATGTAGTTGCGCTTCGTTCCGGCCCCGAATTTATGGGAGAAAGAGAGAGAAGAGTCTTTGTAGTTGTTTGTGCTAGACGTTGAATTGTCAACATGGCGGGGCCCACCATCCTCTCACTACAAATAACTTATTTGGCGGGGTCCTCATTTTCGGAATTGCCTAGACAAGCTTAGCGCTATTATCCTCATGCCGTATGGCTTCCGCGTTTCGTCGCATACAGAGCAGCGTCATACGGACAATTCTTCCATAAGGATACTGAAAGACTAGCCATACTGTCTGGAATCGAGTGTCGGTTCATAGGTAAGTATACAACGGTGCTAGACCTTGGTCTTTACAGCCATCGATGCGTGACGCTAATCCTTACACCAATCTTGTTGACTATGTTAGTTTTTCTTGTATTTTGTCAATTTTATCCGGTAGAATGATTTATTTACCATCCTGCTGTAAGATTACTGAACAGGTCACAGGACGCGTAGTGGTCGAATAGGACGGCGAGGCTGACTAAGGGCAACACTGACCTGGCAACCACAACATCCACCCAAGCGCGACTCTTGCTCATTGTTCTCTTTTCGATAACAGCATCAAGACAAACGAGAGAAAAAATCTCAAAATCATCAGTTCTTCCATCCATGGGAGTTGAGTGTACGTCCTCAAGGCACCAGAGCCCCAGGCTGTCGCCAGACCGTGCCAATGACGTAGGGATTGAGAGTGTGCAAAGTGAAAGCCTTGTGCCGCCAGACGGTGGCTATGGATGGATCTGCGTCGCTGCATGCTTCACAATCAATTGCTTTACTTGGGGTGCCGTCTCGGTGAGTAGACAGCGAGTGCCAAAGTCCGATGCTCTCGTCCAAAGAGATAACTACAAGTAGCTGATGTAACTTTCCAGGCCTATGGCATCTATTTGTCTCACTATCTTGCAGAAGCCTTGTTCCCTGAAGCAACGACCTGGGACTATGCCTTCATTGGGGGGTTTAATTTTGCCATAGCCATGGTCGTTGCACCCGCTGTGACAGTCTTGTGCCGCAAGTTCGGAATCCACGTCATCATGTGCTGCGGTCTGCTATTTCAGCTTGCAGGCTTCCTCTCGGCTTCCTTTTCGCATCGCGTTTGGCAGCTCCACATCTCCCAAGGCGTCTTGATTGGTTGTGGAATTGGCTTCCTTTACATTCCCTGCCTACCAGTTCTCTCCCAATGGTTTGACAAACGACGCAGTCTCGCAAACGGCATCAGCGCGGCAGGTTCTGGCGTCGGTGGGGCAGCATTCGCATGGGGATCAGAAGCTATCATTCAGCGATTTGGCATTGCCTGGGCACTGCGCATCACAGGTATACTCGCATTTACGGCAAACACCATTGCAACCATTTTCATCCGCGATCGGAACAAGGCCATTCGGCCGTCTCAATTAGGCTTTGATACAAAGCTGTTGAGGCGAGGTGATGTGCTCTTGCTGCTCGCTTGGGCCTTCATCAGCATGCTGGGTTATATTGTCCTGCTTTTCTCTCTATCCGACTTTGCGTTATCCATTGGGCTGTCGCGATCTCAAGCTACTGATATGATTGGCTTGCTGAACGTGGGCACTGCCATCGGGCGGCCGATCATAGGCATTCTTAGTGATCGATGGAATCGTATAGACACAGCCGGAGCGTTGACGCTCTTGTGTGGAGTGGCATGTTTTGCCTTTTGGCTGCCTTCCACGTCATATGGGCTGACTGTTTTCTTCGTCATACTGTGCGGGGCTATAGTGGGTGTTTTCTGGATGGTAAGTTGGTCTCTCGTGTCATGACAGTCTGGAAGCAGCACCATAGTGACACCGGGTGTAGACGATTGGCCCATTGTGTGTCGAAGTCGCAGGGATCAAAGACTTGCAGTCTCTATTATCTCTGTCTTGGGCGGCTGTCATTATCCCCTCCATAGGTATGTGCATCCAACCAGTCCTTGTGAAGTTTCAGTACATGATGCCTTACAGTATCTGAGGGCATTGCGCTCAAACTTAGGCGCCCCAACTCTTCTCGAGAATATCTATATGCTCAAATCTTCGCTGGTCTTTCTTACATAGTCGCCAGCGCACTCATGTTGCAACTGCGCAGGGTGAAGCGCCGCCAGGCTCGCAGTTGCTGAGCTGCGTACGTCGCCACGATGGCTCCAACATAAGAGTAGGAATTTGGCACAGGCGTTATTGCCTAATCTGACGAGTGCAATTGGCCCAATGCTGGAGTTGAGGAACAACAAGTCGTTTATCGTTCATCCATTAGCTCTAGCACACGAGTATTCTTGACATTACACTCCTCATCCCCAACGCAGCCCAGACTAGCTCTGATTCGACTGTGATCTCCATCACCGCGCATTTCAGCAATAATGGTAGCAGCCGTCTCGCATGATATCAGCAGTCCAGTATCGAGTGGCGTTTCCTTGGGCATAGTGGTCGGGGCGCAGAAACAGCTAGCGGTATTAGGACAGTCTGCATCCTCTTGCAGCATAGAAAACGAAGACGTGCTATTGTCATGACCAGTGCCACCTGCCGGCTTGCAACACGTTGAAACTGGTGACGCATTCACGGTGGCAGGGACCAGTCGATGTGTGGGCTGAGACTCGGGGCGTGGTTTCGCTTGAGGCTGGGCTGTTGATGGCGCTAGCGGCCTAATCGAGGTTTGCGCAGGAGACTGTGTAGGGGGTTGCATGCACAAGGGCACTGTCTTTGGAACCACAGGTTGGTGTGATATTGGACTCCTTGGAAGCCCCGGTGGTGCGGGTAGCACATGGGCTGCATGGCTTGCATAGCTGGGAGCAATGGTGATAGCGGTGACAGTGGTGTGAGTAGTGGGAGCGGTGTTGGTGTTGAAGGAGCGCAGATATGCCTCTACCTCATTATGCGTCACACCACGGCTGGCAAGTAGACTTCTTAACAGTGAATTCTCCTCGGCGACCTTGCGTGCGGCGCGCTGCATCTCCTGCGTGGCGGCAACGCCCTTGATTTCATATTCCTGCACTCGGCGGCGCAAGTCCTGGATAAGCTCCTTGCGCTGGTTGCGCGAACGCCTCTGATTCTCGCGGATGCGGATTGACGATGGTGTGTCGCTACCCTGTCTGCTGCTTAGCCACAGACTGACTGCCAACATGAGGTTGCCCTCATAACTTGCTGGGAACCCACCTTCTTGGACATGGTTGGAGGTTGGTGGACGGGCGAGTGGCAAGACGGAGCGCTTGGAGGCGTGCATGGCAGATGCAGAGCCGCGTGGGGCTCGACGCTAAACCCAATCCGGCAATCACAGCATGATGGCCCTTTGCCCATATGCCAGCTAGCCCCATCATCTATATATTCACTATGTATATACACACATTCCCCGTGATGTATCACTTGGAGCACGTGCGAAGCACACGTATATTTCTTCGTCCGTCTCTCGTGCTGTCGTCCTTACCCTCCCCTCTTCTCTCCAGACTCGGCATCTATCCCGTCATATCGCCGGCATCAAACCTCAACACCTTCCATATCGGCTCTAACACCACCCCGCATGCATACACTTTGTGCACTCCACTCTTCCCGTCTTAGCTCATCACACAAGCTGCCGTTACGGAGCAGACAAGTGATGAAAAGCCTTCTTGGCAGGCTCGGCTCTACGGGTCCTTGATATTCCCCCGCTCCCATTGTCTCGCTACGAGGCATTGCGACGTCACAAAGGCACAAAGTGCACTATCTGCATCCGCCAGTGCTGCAAAGGAATATGCACTATGACCCGACCAGGAAGCTCCCTTATCATTCACCACGGGCTGACAGATGGCATCCCCATGCCAGTGAGGCTGCTATAAGAAATCCCAACCCGCCCTTGTCTGCGGCGAGTGCGTTTCCTAAGCCATTCGTAGAGCTTGGTTTCTCCTTCCATACATTATCACTATCATGGTTCTATACAGTCTCCCATCGCTAGGAGTGGCTCTTCTTCTCCCTGCTCTTGCCCACGCCCAATTCCCCACCACACCGCGAGACGTGAAAGTTGTCAAATCACAGCTTGAAGAAGGTGTACGAATCTCATACAAAGAGGCACGTGATTTCTTGCTCAGCTTGTTGGCCATGCTCTCATCATATTCAGACCAAGCTGTGCGAGACTACGGAAGGCGTCCGAAGCTTCTCCGGCTATGTCCATCTTCCCGCCGGGGCACTCGCCGACCTGGGTGTCCAAGATCAGACGTATGAGATTAACACATACTTCTGGTTCTTCGAATCTAGAAAGGACCCCGAAAATGCTCCCTTGTCAGTTTGGATGAATGGTGAGCAGCTTGTTGACACGTATATACAGCACCATCTGACCTTGATCAGGTGGGCCTGGGTCCAGCTCCATGCTTGGGCTCTTGCGTGAGAATGGGCCGTGCTTTGTTCATTCTGACTCAAACAGCACCTATATCAACGAGTGGTCGTGGAATAACGAAGGTTGGAAGGCCCAGACTCGGCTCAAATCACGCCTCGTGAAAAATGCTGATCCGGTCTAGTGAATATGCTATATCTCGACCAGCCCGTACAGGTCGGTCTCAGCTACGACAGCTTGGTGAATATTACCAACAACCTGGACACGGGTGAGTTGAAGGTTGTGGACTTCCAGGCTACCCCGGTCCCTGCCCAGAACAACAGTTTCTATGTCGGTACTTACCCCAGTCAAAACTCCAATTTCACCACGCGAGGCACTGAAAACTCTGCACGAGCGCTTTGGAACTTTGCCCAGGTCTGGTTTCAAGAGTTTCCTGAGCACAAACCCAACGATGACAGAATATCAATTGCCACGGAATCTTATGGAGGTCGTTACGGGCCCGCTTTTGCGGCCTACTTCCAAGAACAAAATGAGAAGATTGAAAACGGAACATGGAATGAAGCTGGGGAGACGCATGTTCTCCATCTTGATACACTTTTGATTATCAACGGCTGTATCGATCGATATGTACAATGGCCAGGTTACCCTGTCATGGCACACAATAACACATACGGCATTCAAGCCGTAAATCAAAGCCGCTATCAGGAGGTGCTCGACAATTTGTACCGCCAAGGAGGCTGTCTGGAGCAGATCGAAGTCTGCCGGAACCTCAGCCTCGCATATGATCCCACTAATCAAGGTTTTAATGCCACTGTTAACAAGGCATGTGAGGCTGCCGAGACCTTCTGTTCCGAGAAAATACGGGACCCATACTTTGATACCGATTTGAATTACTACGATATTTCTGCGCCTGGTGCAGCATCATACCCTCCGCCCTGGTACCAAGGCTTTCTCAATCAACCCCATGTACAACAGGACCTTGGAGTATCGCTCAACTGGACCCAGTCAAACTCGGCAGTGTCCAAATCATTCCGTGGTATAGGTGACTATCCACGTCCGAATTGGAAAGAGGACTTGGCCTACTTACTTGAAGAGGGAATCAAAGTCACGCTAGTTTACGGCGACCGTGACTATGCCTGTAACTGGTATGGAGGAGAACTTCTCTCTCTTGCTATACCATACAAAAATGCCAATTCGTTTGCCACGGCAGGTTATGCGCCCGTAGTGGTGAATGATACATATATTGGCGGCCAGGTACGCCAGTACGGTAATCTGTCATTTACACGCGTTTACGAAGCCGGACACGAAGTTCCCGCCTATCAGCCAGAGACTGCATACAAGATTTTTATGCGCTCACTGTTCAATCGAGACATCAGCACTGGTAATGTCTCGACTGCCAACAACACCAGCTACGCGACCGAAGGACCAATGGATGTGTCCAACATCATCAACGTACCGATTATCGATCCAGGAGCCCAGTGCTATGTCTTGGATCCTGGTCAGTGTACCAAGGAGCAGTGGGAGTCTGTGATGAACGGTACTGCCCTTATTCGCAACTGGATAGTCGTGGATGTTAACACAAGCCACCTTTTCCCAGACTTAATACCTAATAGTACTACAGGGAATGGAACGATTCCGTCGACCACAGGTAGCTCCATGCCCCTCTACACGGGAGCTGCGACTGGTGGTTTCTTTTTGAGTGCTTTCAATAAGGCTTTTTTTGCAGCAGGCATCGGGAGCTTCCTGATCCTATAAGGTCTGCCCTCTAATCGAAAATACGATGAACAGTGCAATTTGCAAGCGTACAAATTTTTCAAATGAATAAACCGATAGCCATAAGAATTTTCAGGTGAACAATAATATCTATGAGATATGCCTCAGGTGCATTGGCTATCGGCTAGAAATATTGGTCGGTCTGGAGGCAGCCATGATCTGCGTTGGATCACGAATGAGCTAATGATTCAAATAAGGACCTTATAGCATCACCATTTGGTCTGCACCGGAGCTCCTTAGGCTTTTCATTACTTTTTCTACTTTCTATTTTCATACCACCTATTGCGGATTTTGAGGTTGACATGACGTCATGACTTGTGCCTCCTGATATCAAAGACTCCTTCCGTGAGCATTACTTGTACGTTGGCATGCCACCTTCAGCACATCACCAAAATCTTCTCAACCAACAAATCTACAAAATGACGAGAAGCAATTATTCTGCATTCCAGAAACACCTGTTGTTCTTCTCAACCCCCACAACCCCACCTAGACTTACGTTCAAGTCAGCCCTGCGGGCAGGGGTGTCCCTCGGATTAGACTTTCCCGTGGCAGTCTTGCTGAGCGTGTCGCTGAGAATTCTCTATGCGCCATTTCCCTACTTCTGGTCTCCTATCATCGTCGACAAGATCCCCGCTTCGTCTCACCGCACTCAGCTGGAAAATGCTACGCTTCCACAGGGAAAGACCAATTACACATGCTCCGAGCTTCTGTCTCTTTCGCAACAGAGCGAAAACGGTGGACGTAACAAAGCATGGTTGTCGCACAAGATAGACCAAGGCCACATTGTGGGATTTTGGACGATGGCAGCAAACACACGGTCGCACACTGTTAGCAAAGAGGACGTCGAGCGGTTTCAGCAAGGTAACTGGGAAGACGCTGTGGTCGAGAGACGGAGAGGGCGTAATGACGTGTTACCGCTCTGGAGAGGTGGACCTATCTGGACAGGTGGCCATAGCTGGGCCGTTCGTAGAACACTAAACGTTAGGGTTTATGAAACCAAAGCACTCTAGTCTTCAATCGATGTAGTGAACAGATGTAGGTAGTAGTATTGGGTCACGAGTCTTTCGAACATGTTGTAATACTACTATAACGTGTTTTACAAGCGAGCGGCGCACCCTACTAACTTTACACACATCTCTACGTATACAGCTCTACTATAACTAAATAAAATTTATATATATTAAGGTAGTAGATTAAATACTATCTAAAGTATCTTTCTTATATATACGCGAATTATAGCTAGTCTCTCTATACCTACTATACCGCGCTAGAGCCTAGCGGCTAATACCTAATTACTCTTCTTCTTAACGCTTTTTATAAGTAATCTATTAATTAGCCTTGCGCTAAGCGAGTAGATCTTCTTTAGCTCTCTTTATTAATACTCTTTACTTCTATATCTACTTCTTCTTACGCTGCCTACGCTTTATTACGGCTTTGTTCGCCTTCTTAAGACTAGCTATCTAATTACGTATTAGCTTAGCTAATGTTAGAGATCTAAGCTACTCAGCTAATCTCTGATAAGATCGATCTATCAATCGACTAGATCGCTATACCCTAGCGATCTATACTATCATACTACTAGTGTATCACGAGTGTATTAGTAGCGTAAGAGATAAATAAAGATTACGTATATACAACGTAATCTATCGCTACTAGCTAGTATAAATACTAGTAATAAGAATACTAGATAGAAAGTAGAGTAGATTGCACAGAGCAGACTACTAGTGCAGACAATAAGATAAGATCGGATCAATCTAATTCTTTAATCTCTCTCCCCTAGTATTATTTCTCTCTTTTTATTCTAGAACCTATTAATTCGCTATCTCTGAGTCTATCGCTAGATAAGTAGACGACTCTACCTCTGAGCTAGATATAGAATAAGTAGCACCCTCCTTATTCTAATAGCTAAGAGTATTAGTATCTTAGCTCTCTTCTTAAGCTAGTTAATTACTATAATAATTAAAGCTAGTAATAAGCCTTAATACTGCTAAACGTAATTACGTATTAACGTTAATTAAACTTTAAGCTTACGTATGTTACTAGGCGTATAAGCCTACTAGAGAGTCTCTAGAATAGCTAGTAGAGTAGGTGTATAGAGCTTT